CATTTAATGGGCCAACTAATGTCAAACGGCGACACGCGTTACCTGGACAGGAGAGAGGAGTTACAATGAGCGAGTGAGAGTGAGAAAGAGGGAGAGGGAAGAGAGAAGGAGGGAGGGAGAGGGAAGGGAGGGGGGGGGGAGGAGGAGAGATGGTGCCGAGTGGGCTCCGACTCGTAGAGTGAAACGAGGGAAAAGAAGCTCGAATTACATTTGACCCTCTCGTACATTTGTCCTACACGTGTAAGAAGATACGAGGATCTGCTTTATGTAACAGTTCAAAAATAACACTTTGAAATTTTGCATAATTGGAGACTCACGCAGGCTGTTTCGTCTCAGGTTCTGGGATTCGTGCGTTTGGTATCGATTTGGTATTTTTGCCCCCCCCCCGTCAACAACGATAATATTTTAAACGGTTTCCAAAGTCGAGTAAAAAATTCCACGAGATTATTATATAAAATGTATCACTGAACCGAATCAATTTTGTTGACTTTTCTGCGATATAATAAATTTTTTTATCGAAAAACTCGTATTTCGGAAACAATTATGTATGTATATCGATGACTAATACACGATTGATGGCGAGAGAATTAAGCGAATAAAGCGACGATAATCTCTCCGCGGTGGCCTCATTGATGAGGAGAATCTGTGAGATCTAAAACGGATTACATAGATTTATTTCCACCAATTAGTTTGAAAGGACGTGTTGACAGGTATCTTTATAATCTGCCGGCTGTCTGAAGAGACATTCGTCCGCCTTCCATACGGCACAGCCGCCAAGCGTTTCATTTACCTGCCCGAAAGTAAACTGCAAGTTAATCGGAAGCTAACAAATAAAGTTTTGCCGGACCCCTGTGGCCCTTTCGCAAGAGGCCGGCGCGCCCCTCAAAGATAAATATAGACTGACGTTTCACATACCTGAGGATAGTAGACATTTTGTGCTATTTTGTGACTTAATTTTCTCGCAGTTAAAAAAAAAAAAAAGAATAGAAATATTCAGAACGATGAAAAATTATTATTTTCCGTTAACAAATCGAAGATTTCGTACGTCTTATTTCTTCTCATTTATCGCTAGCAAATATATTGACCGAATAAAAACAAGCATGAAACATGAAAGGGAATATCTCTCTTACTTAAAAAAAAAGATGAAGTGATCCGCGAGACATGTTTTAAAATAAGGTTGATATCACGGGGACTCTTCGCGGTGCGGCAAGACGCGCGTTGGGACTCGATGGACAAAATTCACACATCAGAAACGCCTGTCGTTCGAGGTCGAATTGTGTTAGCCTTGAATTTCATGCCTGCGCACCGTGTTCTTACGTACACACCAGTTATATATCCCTATCTTGTTTAACTTTCCCTGTTTACACACCGCATCGCGGCGGGAGCGATGGACAAACGAACTGACGGACGGCAGTTCCCTTGGAATAACAATTCGCTGCGCGTCCGCTCGTCCCGTTTTCATCGTCGAATCTTTCACGGAGCGCAGCCTCTGGATTTACTCGCGCGAATTCCGCTCTCTCTGGCGAAGAGCCCGAGATATACCGAGATAATCGAAGTCACGAGCAGATGCCGTCGGTCTCGAGCCCGTCTAAAATTCGATCCTTCGTGGCACCGATTTCAGCGAGGTCGCTTCCTTCAGCCGCCACGCGGTTTGACCCGCTCGACATCGTTCGCCGAGTCATTCTCTAACGAGCCTTCAAACCCTTCGTTCGGGAACAAAAGTAGGACACGTTAGAAATGGAAGAAAAAAAGAAATCGCGTAGGGATCGATTTTTAAGGGGGAGGAAGGGGCGACGCGGGGGAGATCCCGCGCGGATCTAGAAGATCCACGTCACACAATTCCGTCATACATCCTACAGTAAGCTCGCGCAGAAGTAAACGGCGTGTTTGTAGATCTCTCGAAGTCGGCGTACGTGGCCGAAAACTCGACGAGCTTCGAGTGGATTATCGGTAGGAAAGGAATTAACGAACGGGAGCAGCGAAAGAGGTACTTCCCTCCGTCTAGTGCCCTCTTCGTGGCTTTTAGATAAGGTCTCTCACCCCTACGCAAAACCGGCCGTACCATAAAGCCGTACGTAAAAAATTCACGCAACAAACAGCGACGAGGGCTGCGCGTATTACTTTCTTTCTTTCGGTAATGCTCCTTAAGATTAAGACTTTGCACGGCTCGCTTTAATGATGAGCCATTCTGAAAAATCGTCCCGTGCAAGCAAACATCGCGTTTAATTGCGCGCGATCTGCATTTTCAGGATCCGGGGTCAAGGATTAATTTAAAAATTGAATAAAACATTCTACTTGAAGAAGTAATTAAGGTTCGACAATAATTGGAATCATTCTTAATTCATATCAAGAATTGTTTTCTAATCCGTTTAACGGATCACTATATTTTTATTCAATTATGATTGAGACTTATAGATTTATGACACAAATTCATGAATATTATATGAGTCAACAAGGAGGGATGATATTTCTATTTATTCAATTCGATTTTTTCGGGCAACAAAGTTTTGAAACTTATGAAACTTCAATTTCAATTCTTATTATTTTAAAATTCCGTGGTATTGTCAATAACAGAATGCGTAATCATATATTGTAAAATTAAATCTAACGACATACAAGGCAACGTGAATTGGAAGACAAAAAATGGAATAATGGCGAAAGGCGGTCGTTTTCTCCGAGTCGTACACCACCCGCGGGACAACCACCGGTATTCTGGTCATGCCCGAGGCGACATCCGAGAGGGGTAAAAGGAATTTCCGAGGGTGGCCGATCCCGCTAATATTCGAAGAATTAGACAGACGGTGGCGAGTCCTCGAGACGCGGTCGGCTGGACGGACCCCTTAAAGTGCTTTCGTTGCATTCCCGACGCACGCAACTCCGACATATAATGGGGGTTATATCGAAGCTTCGAAGGTTGGAGGAACGAGGTTGGAGCGGCGTACAACAGCCACTCGACGAGGTTACACGCGGTAACATATGCGCTCTACAGACCGGGACGATAAAAATCAGCTATTGCAAAGCGGCACGCGGTGTCGCTTGAGTTTACACCCTACACTGACGAAAGATCCTGACACACTTGACAAAAATCGCGAAACTGAATTTCAGAAGCCCAACAGTTTCTGGGTTCTGGTGCCTGCAAGGAGAATTCGAACGACCAGCAAAATTCTCGAATTTAATTAAATTCGATAATTGCTGTAAATTTGTCGTCATGCTTTTGCTTTATATTATCGTTTAAATATAAACTTATTAAAAATTAAGCTTCAGAGGGAACAGATATATATATATATATAAATGATATTTCTTGTTCACATATTTCTTATTCACTTAATTTTTAATTAGAGGCTTATTCATAAATACATCATATAATGTTAGAAATAAAATAAATGATGACACTTTTAAAGGATGATCGACTTAAAATTGACCAACAAATTCGCAATTTAAAGGAGGATTTTGTGTACCTCGGTTGACATAACACGAGTAAGCCGATGAATTTTTTGCCTAGTCTATTCGGAAGAAGTGAAAAAGAAAGGAACGTAGCGCAGTAGTTTTTGAGTTTTCAGTAGGAGCAATCGCGTGCGATTAGGGTCGCTCCAGACTGCTTTTACGGCAATTGAGCTAAGCGATCGTGGAAGTTGTGCAGCCGCCTGGACAGAATCGAGATCGACATCTGCTTATGACAGAAGTGCGCGTTATAATCCGTGCGATATGTATTATGAACGGTTCACAGAGGCGGCTTAATCGCATCCGTATTTATCGTCTAGAATAGTGAGATGTGTCTTACTGGACGATTTAATTTTTTAATGAATCCTGATCGTCAACGAAGTGCATATCAACTAACACGTCATATTTCTTAACACTCATAAATAATTTATTACATGGAAAGAACAGTTTTATTGCCAAATCTAAAAATTTTAATTCTACGCCTGAAAATAATATCATTGGGCCTTCAAAATTATGTATGACGTTCAAACTGGTTGCTAACTAGATAAAAATTTTTATCAGTCTTATTATTTTTAAGCGTCCTATGTGATAATGTTGATAGTCCAACAAAGTTATTTTCAGATCTATATTTGGTCAAATTTTTCGATTTGCTAGCAAAACTGTTCTCTCCGTGTAAGTTTTATTCTTTTTCCAATATTTTGAATAAGAAAATATTAATTTTATTAACATTGAATGTTAATTTTGTTGTTTTATTCCTTTTGGAACAATATTTTGAAATAACTTTCTAAACATTGATTACATCGTTGTTCCTCGCAAGGGACAAATATTACAATTCCATTGTTTTCACTGCCTGATTTTCAGCTAAAATTCACATTGTAGAATCGATTTAGTAATTCTTCCGGAGATGTAAACCTCATATTATTTTCCTCTTCGGCATCGAGTATCCGCATAAAATGAGCGAGGCGTTAAATTCCCCTCGAAGAAATAACACGATTCTCTAACCATGGATTACGGACTTAGTCCGTCGGATAGGAAATAGCTAGAGACCGATTCAGAGTGCGTCTGACAAAGGCTCGTGCCTCCGTCTCTGAAAAAACATTCGAGGGCCTACCTGGCGATAGTTCGCGTATGAGATATGTCGTACCGTTTTATTCCAACATAAGAGCGATTCAACGCGGTCAATTTTACGTTTTGCTTTAAAGAAAGCTGTAGAGATGCATGTTCCAAGAATCGCGTCTGTTTCTTCCTTACTATACATTATTAGACCGCACATATAAAATTTCTGTTTTTTTCTTCTATTTTTATAATGTGTATTGAATCCTTGTTGAACTTATCAAATCTGATCTTTTCAATGAGAATTTCTGCTTTGAAAGTTCTTCATTAAGATATTACCATACATTGCTAATCCTCCCCGTTTTTTTTATTAAAAGTGCATAATTTCGAAGAATTCGAAAAATTTCTGAAATCCCGATATGATATTTAATGTAAAAGTCTAGATTATGATATTAATATTATAGTTTGATAAAGATTTAACTGTATGTTTTATGTGTGTTTTGCAGGTGAAAATATGGTTCCAAAATCATCGGTACAAATGCAAGAGGCAAGCAAAGGAAAAGGCCATGGCCGAGCAAAACGCCCAGAATCAGGTAATTACACAAATGTCGAAGTCTTGTGTAAACCATTTCGAAAGTGACACGTTCGTCGAATATAATATCACGAATTTTACAAAGGCGCACCATTTTGATGACTTTTATTATATCTAATAAACGCTATTTATTTTATAATACTCGTTAAATGGTTATATGTATGTTGCACAATTTATGTAATTTCCAAGTCTATTTATTGTCACGAAATTATGTAGAATAAGACATTAATTTCTAAAAGACTAAAATATTGAATTGTTAAAAAGTAATGCGCTATGTATTGTTATATAGTACAATGGCAAATAATAAAATATATCTGTCAAGTAATATTTAGTAATGTTTGGGCTATTTCGACTGGAACAAATCACACCAAAATTTTCGTGACGCAAATCGGGTGTCAAACTAGAGTTTGTGCATTCGGCATCGAGATGCCATCGCGTCTTCGGATCGTTTCAGCGATTTTAAAACAATGACATGTCCGTACTCGACTCAAAATGTCGCGTCACGTTAGTGTCGACCAATCCGAAATGAAATGGCTTTAAATGAGAAATATCGCGGAAGCCGCATAAATCCTCGCATCCGCATCATATTTCGTTTCGAGAGTGCCACTCGACCGCTCGAAGCGATTTTGCATTTATTTTGTTATGTCATTTGGGATTTCCGAGGGATATCGCGCCGTGCGTCGTCGACAGAACGATAAAATTGCTCGCGTTGAGCACGTAATCACGCGCCCGTCGCGTTTCACGTGGCTCAAAAATATAGTGCGAGATTACAGAATCGAGTAAAATAGCGAATTTGCGCGTCCGATGAAATTCAATATTCGTTATAATCCAAGATAAAAATGCGTGGGACGTCGAAGTGTTGATCAAGCCGGAGGCGTACGGAGATACAAGTGAAATACACTTTGTGAGTGTACTACCTTCGAAAATACTAAAACAATTTTGAAATTATATTATTAAATTTATAATACCAGGTTAATAAAATAAAACCTAAAACGTATCAATTGTTTAGGAAAAATCTAACCGCATTTTCCACTTTTTTATGATTTCTTCTGTGATATTGAATACTCTGAAATAGGTTAGAAAATTTTTCTTGAAAAATTTCGTCGTTTTTTGTTACCACAAAAATTCTTTTGTATTAAGAAAACGTCGTTTCTGTACTGATTTTAATAATACTTTTGTAACAGTAATTTTTATGAAAATATATATTTTACGTAGCTAAATACAATATTTATATGTTATAGTGTGTTGGGCAGTTTTGCAATTAGCAGTTAGTTTTTCGTGAAAATAAATACACGGACGGGTAAAAAAATTTCTCCTGCACTCCTATTAATGTTTTCGTTTAATCTTTCAAGCGTAATTTCCAGCCTTCAGATTTTCTAGAGTTTACCTACTGAAATAAGCGATACATTCGTATACACGAGAGCGTACGGAGTAAGAGTACTCGGTACTTGCGTCGCTGTATTAAAATAATCGATACTTTATCGTCGATAGCAGCTGAGTACTCGAATACGCTCAAGTATATCGCGAGTATTTCTAATAGCAACAGACGTCGAGATCGCCGAGATATCGTGGCTGCTACGAAACGTGCCGTGTCTCTTGGATCTTTTACCGGATATTCATATAACCGAATACGAATCGTCCCCCCCCCCTACTCCCAAGGGATATTATTCAAAAAGAGATGTCAGAGTTGATCGTCGTGATACACGCGGATTCTTTTGAATATATTAGAACGTTACGTATGCACCGTCACGAAAGTTCACGTTGACGCGACGGATTGCTTCGAATGCGACGGTTTTTAAACCATGCGGTTACGCGATTTGCCTAAACGTGACATTCTCGTGAAACGTATATTCTCGTGTATACATTGAGAAAAATGTCTGGTTGAAGATGGACAAACCAGAAGGTTCTGATTACATCAATCAGAATTCCGGTCACCTCAACTAAAATTTTAGTAGATTTAAGCAGAAAATTCTGATTTGTCCATTTTCAACCAGAACTTCAATCATTAATTCAATCAAACATTTTTCTCAGTGTATGAATATATTTTCGCTTATTTCTATAGATAAATTCCACAAAATCTGAAAACTGAAAATTATAATACTTGAAGGATTAAACGTTAACGTTAACGGGTTGGTGCAGGAGAAATGTTTTAAGCTGTCCAATGTATTTATTTTCACGAAAAACTAATTACCAATTGCAAAACTGCCCAACTCTCTGTAATATATAAATATTTCTTGTTATATTTGCGAGTGCGTATTCATGCAGTGAGAGATTCATGAGTTCAGAATGATCGAGATGAAAAGAAAGTCGGTTAAATTCGGATTTCTGTATCTTTGTCTTTTTGTCTTCAAACTTGGGAGAAACTTGTAATATGGAATTTTTATACTTCATTTATATCTCATTTATATCTCATTCGAGAAATATGTTTACATAGATCGTTATGACGTAAGCGATCAAATGGATAACACTGTTTTATTTATGTACGGAAAAGAACCGAACTTATAAATAATACTATATTTAATATAACTGCGAAAATTGAAAAAACGTTATCGTTGGATAAAAAAAAAAATGGGAGAAAAAATCCTTTGTAATGCGATTTTTATGAAAGGAATTAATTAATATCGATTTATCTTTGTGACTCGATTATATATGACAAAGATCTGAGATAAAAAAAATAAAGACGGTATTTTTCCAGACGAGAGGAGAAATAATTAAATTCGCGTAAGAATTAGATCGAGTCGCAAAGACCTGAGTAAAAAATAGAGACGGTATTTTTTTTCCAGATGAGAAGAGAGACGATTAAATTCGCGTTAGGCCTGACGCATTCGTACATTCGCGTGCCGAAATGAAATTCACCAACTTCGTTATCGCTTTGGTAGATGATATTTTCGCGAAATATCGCGGACAAGTGTCACAGATGCAGTGCGACGGTATAAGCGGATTACGTACACTTTTACACATCGGAGGACAATATGCGTACAACTTCTCTGTTGCTCATTGAAATTCGATGAAAGTATTCACATAGTTTACGGAACGTGAGATCGAAACGCATTCCTAAATGACACGCGCAATTTTTTTCGCCCGTGGTATTAACACCGATGAGCTTTACGTGTTTATCGATTATTCAGAAATGTGTTTCGGAGAAGAAGAGTTTTGCTGTCTAGGGAAACCGTCGCTGTGCATTCGATGTAAATGCGATAAAATCTCAGCAGTGTAAAACTGATCGTTCGATGTCACAGCAAAATTGTTTCACGAAACGAAAAATTCTAATCTAAGAGTGAATTTATTCGTAGTATTTATTCGTAGTAAATTATCTTGTCTCGGACAATTAAACTTTTTTCAGTGATAAAATATCACTGACGAAAGTTTAATTGTCCGAGACAAGATAATTTATCCCCATAAGGAAAGAATAATTTTGCATTTAAAAATTTATACCGGATAAAGTTCTGAAAATAATTATGTAGAACGTTCAAATTAATTGAATATAAAAAAATTTTATAGTATTATCATCATTAAGCACCTCACATAATTTTGTTTTTCATCACTGCACTGGACTGCACTAAAATTTTCTCATTTCTCAATTTCTATCTCACTTTCATCAAATTTTAAATATATATCTATTTCATTTTAGTTTAGTTAGAAAAAACAGACCTCATAATTCTGATGACCTAACGCAATTATTTTCATTGTATCTGACCAAATTCTTTAAATACTTCAACGAAATCATTCTTTCCGTGTTACAGCAGAAAATATCCCGTTTCTCTTTTGCCTCATCTAAAAATTCTTGACGTCGACGCAAGAATGTGACACGGAAAGAACAATTTTGTTTTAGCAAATTTAAAAACTTGGCCAGATCTAGAAATAATTTTGTTAAGCCGTCAAAATTATTATGTTACAACGTTCAAATTGGTTTTATTGAGTCTTCAAAGTTATCACGTTATGATGTTCAAATTAACTGCTAAAAAATCAAAAATGTTTGTGCAGTTTTTATTATCATATTTAAGTGTTCCACATGATAATTTTTTCGATAGGCCAAACAAAGTTACTTTCAGATCTGTATCTGGCCAAGTTTTTAGACTTGCCGACAAAACTATTCTCCGCGTGTGTATCGAAGTTCGATTTAAACGACCTCGAATGGTGCTCACCGCGAAAGTATCGATGGGTATCGGCGGGGACCATCGCTCGCCATCGAAATCAGGGTTGTCCCTCCCAAGTACAATGGACTCACCGTTGCGTCGCGATGCCTCGTAAACAGCCGTATAGCATTAATGGCGTTGAAAGTTATCTGATGGGCCGATCTGCGAGGGCAAGCGAGCGATTCTTCCGCCCGGCAGCCGCGCCACCGGCCGCCCTATAATTTACTCGTTAGTCCGTCGTGCTTCCGTGGACACGTTTTCATTACCCTCTCTTCTGCCATCCGCGTTGTTACCATCAATAACGATTAGCGATTATAGCCATTTTATTTCGCCGCGTATCATTCGGCGATTCGGAGGATTGGCCGACCGTCGCAAATTGGGAATTAACGTTTCTCAGTTTCTCTGATGCATTCAAAAGATATAATCGCGAGAGAGAGAGCGGTGATTTTTACTTGTAATCTTGTCACTTGTGATATCGTCTTGATTATGTTTCTCAAATCAGAATTTGCGAATATGTGTGTTTGTAATTTTCATAACGTTTTCGTTCTGAAAATTGATTTACTCTAATTGATATTTGTCAATTTATGCAGCACTTATTGCATCGACTGCATTATGTACGAATCTTTCAAATGTCAAACTGATGATCAACGTCACTTTTGATAAATTTGTTTATTTTAAGACTATATATAAAGAAAGAACAGGGAAATAATAGTTTTATAGAAGTATCTAAAAATTTGATATCAGATATGAAAATAACTTTGTTAAGTCATCAAAATAATTATGTAGAACGTTCAAATAAGTTATTAAAATATTAAAAAATTTGACAATATTATCATTATGCATTCTGCATAATAATTTTTGGCTA